GCAGTTTAAATTTCATTCTGCCCTACCTTTAGGTTTTATTTGATAAATGTCTGTAATACTGATTTTTAGAGATCCAGGAATTTTATTCCCAGAATGAAGCTTCTGGATGACAGTGCAATAGGTTGGGAGTTGAATGTTTCCCAAAAGAGTTAATTGCAAGGCCCTAAACATTGTTTTGAAGATATTTAACAACTATCTAATGTGTAGCAATCCAAAATTCACTTTAATTTTTTCTGGTAAACTAATATTAGTATATTTTATCTTCCGTAGACATTTACAGCATTTTTTTTTTATTAACATCACTAAAGGTCAGTTTTGGTTTCTTGGAGTATTCTAAAAAATGCATCATAGTTATTTCATGTATTGACATTTTGTAACTTTGGAGGTAAAATATTTGGGATATAACTAATTTAAGTACACCATAGATTTCCATCCTGAGGAATGGATCACTCAATAGCGATCCTCATGCCTGTACCTTTTCTGGATATACAAAGACCATACTTCATATCCATAAAACAGTTATTTTCATCTTACTCTCCGGCAATTAGTGCTAAAAGCCATTTATTGTAAAAGCGAAAATCCTAATGAACAGAAATGTTACAAGAAGTCTTATGTGTTTTATCTTCATCATGCATCATCCATTTTAATTACAGAAAAGGGTGGTGAATACTGTGACAAGAGTCTAGAATTAAAATCATTAATTGATGTCAAGCTGAAGAGAGACTGTTAGCATGAATTTAGTGACAGCAGGAAAGAAATTAACCTTATTACTTTATTTAGTATATTACATTATTTTGTGTATTGTTGTCTATGCAGGTTCAAGGCAATTTCATTATCATAATGGAAAGGACTTTTTTTTAACAAAAAGAAGAGGTACAGATATGTTTGAACATAACAAATTGACATAAATTCTTCACTTGTTAAAAGTCTCACAAAGTTTTTAAAGTTTTAATTTTTTTTAATGTATCAAGAATAGGGAAGCAGTGCGTGATGATGTTGCTCATCTTACATCAGTCACTGTAGCTGTCTGCCATCATTTAGACCTCAGAATAGTTCTCTTGTTTAACTACGAAGGACTGTCTGAAATGCTTAAAGCAATAGACATTTATTTCTTTGGCTAAATTTTGGGCTAATCAGTTACTTCTGTCATTGCTGAAGTTTGGCCCAAGATAAATTGGTTGGATAATGCTAAACAACAACCTGACTGTTCAAAAAACGAATGGCTCTTACATCTTAGAGATAATTTGTGAACTCAGGGTCATGATAAAAGAATAGAGGGGGCGTCCTTTTAATAGCATTGACCATCTGGAACTATTAAAGGCTGAACTGCAGTATATTCAACTGTCTTTTTTTAAAGTTTCCTTAAGAAACTATATTATTTTTCTTGAGACACCCAAAATATTTTCTCATCTGAGTCAAATATTTCTTTTCTAATTAAATCTCTCTAGAAAGAATGAAAACATATTAATATGTGTTCCAGAGTCCCTTTTCTCACTTTAGAGTAAACAAGACATTCAAATATAAAAGTACATATTAAAGAAAATCATTGATATCTTTTGTTAATCTATGAATTGTCACTAAAATTCACAAAAAACATAGTGCATTCTTGGTTTTAAAAATCTACCTTTCAGTGCCATTCATATAGCAGCAAGCTTTATTAGCAATAATTCCTAGACTGAACTTTTTAAAAAGTTTTAGATGCACATTGGTCCAACCTGGTTACCAAATTCATTCTCCTGTTGCAGCTCAAGCCCCACTTCCGGGGCCACAGGTAGGCTGTAGTGGCATTCTGAAGTTTTTAGCACAACGGTGAGCCGGTGAGCCACCAGAGAGAGAAGGGGGACTCAAACAGCTTTCATGGCTTTGAGCATAAACTCATTGGTGGTGATAAGATAAATTATAAAAATATACATTTTTATGTTATTGGAGCTTAGAAAAAAATTAATGCTTTTAGTAGATAACACTGTAATGTGTATTGGATTCAGTGATTAATGGCAATTAATAATAGTGTACAAATTTGGGTAAAAGGAAGCAGATGAGAGCTGGGCTTTATGAATAGTACCTCATGCTGCCGAGCACTTCTTCTGAGCAATTGACTTGTTAGAAATTGACTCCCAAAATGAAGATTAGTTTCTGTGTATTTGGAACAAAAAAGAACATTCAGTTCCAGGATCCATCAATAATATATTGAAACTATTGTGCAAGAAATTGGGGAAGATTATTTAGGTTTCATGCTTCCCTTGAGAAGAGAATGTTCATATTCTTTTGTCCTGATGGCTTCTTTTCTTAACAGAGCTGCATTTTCCAACATAAGTAAGTTAAATTTTCTTCACTTTTAGTGACCTGAGGTTCAATTACCATAGAGTTCACTCACTTATAAACCAATCTGTTACTCCTCTAGATTTGGGGGGGGGGGTCCTCCAAATTCAGAGATTTTGGCTTTATTTCTGTTGTAGCCTTTCAAATTTCTACAGGTTCCCAAACTTCAAGACTTATGTGAATGCCCAGTCACTCCGTAGTGAGGTGATTCTCTGAAGGTGAGCAAATATAGTAGTAAAGTGGATTATCAGATGAGTGATCATAATTGAGCTTCAAATTAATACCCCATTGAATCGAAGAAAGAAGTCATTTTTCTCTTCAATAGTTTTTCTGGTTGAATACAGTCAAAAAGACAGTATGATGGAAAGAATACAATGATCTCTGAACTTATATGAACTTTTCATCATGAATATCCTGTATTTAGTGTTATATAAATACTTTTATAATAACATCCTTGACTGTCATAATCACTCCTAGGTGAATAAGTAGATTATAGTAAGAAATCTAGTATAAATTTAGCTAACTTTGACATTAGAATTTGCCTCATTATTTTTCTGATGGGTATTCTTTCTGCGGGACTTACATTTATTAGAGTCTAGTACGTTTTTTTTTTTTTTTTTTTTTTAGAATCTAGAACTCTTCCTGATAAAAATTTTCTAACTTTTCAGTAGGCCCTTATGAATTAAGAAAATTATGGGTTCTCAACTCAGGAAATAATGTCCTTCTCAGGAGGTTTTGGGAAGATGTGAAACATTTTTTCTTGCCAACATGGCTGAGGACACTGCTTGATGACGTGGCTGGAACCAGTTGTGCAAGAAGTCTTGCACAATAACAAATTAGCCTTTCTCAAATGTCATTGGACCCCTGTAGAGGAACATTGAGCTAGGTGAATTAACTACTTCCATTTTATAGCTGGGAAATAAAAGAAATTAGAAACAATTTACCTGGCAGGCCCAAAATGTGGATAAACAAGACTAGCTTCATGATGATAAGAGGCTTGATGTAAGAGTTCTTGATGTAAGAAGAAAGCAAGGGAGAAAAATGCACACTTTGCTTGCAGTGGTATCTGACAATTTTCCAGCTTTTTAAAAATCTTTTTATTTTGAAATGATTTTAGATTTATAGGAAGTTACAAAGATGGTACCATTCATCCAGTTTCCACCAACTGTTAAAACGTACATGGCAATAGTACAATATCAAAACCAGGAAATTGGCATTGCTACCACGTGTGTGTTTAGTTGTGTCATCTAATCATGTGTGTCATTTTGAGAATGCTATATCAATGAAATCTTACAGTACCTGACCTTTTGAGATTGACTTTTTTTCCACCTAGCATAATGCCCTGAAATCGATTCTAGTTGCTGTGTGTATCAATAGTCTATTTGTATTGCTGAGTAGTACTCTGTGATAAGGATGTACTTTGGTTTATTTGACCACCTGTTGTCACATATTTTGGTTATTTCCAGTTTTTGAATATTAGAAACGAAGTGTCTATGGACATTTGTGTATGGGTCTTTGTCTAGACTTAAGTTTCTATTTCTTTGGGATAAATGTCCAGAAGTGTAATTGCTAAGTGGTACCATAAGTGTATGTCTAGTTTTATGAGAAACTGCTAGACTATTTTCCACAGTGGTTGTACCATTTTACATTTCCAACAGTAATGTATGGCAGGTGCAGTTTCTTTGCATCCTTGTGAGCATTTGATATTATCACTTTTTTATTTTAGCTGTGCAGTAGTAGCCCATTGTGGTCTTAATTTGCATTTCCCTAATGGCTGGTGATGTAGAAAATCTTTCATGTGCTTGCTATCAATACAACTTTTCAAAGAAATATTGCTTCATGTCTTTTGCTTTTCTAATTGGATTTTCTCATTGCTGCATTTTAAGTGTTCTTTACCTATTCTGGACTTGAATTCTTTGTCAAATATGTGGTTTGCAAATATTTTCTCTCTGTACTTACCCCCCCCCTTTTTAGGATTATTTATTTATTTATTCATGAGAGGCAGAGACATAGGCAAAGGGATAATCAGGACCCTAGGATCACAGCCTGAGCCAAAGGCAGATGCTCAACCACTGAGCCACCCAGGGTTCTCTCATCCTCTTAATAGAGTCTTTTGGAAAGGAAATGCTTTTAGTTTTGATGACATTCAGTTTTCTGTCTTTTCTTTATGAATGATGCTTTGATGCCATTTTTAGAGATTATTCCCCTCGTGTTAGGTCCTAAAGATTTTCTTCTAAAGTATTATAGTATTACATTTTCACATTTAAATCTGTAATTCATTTTGGATTGATTTTGTATAAGGTATGATGTGTAAATTCAGGGTGTTTTGTTTTGTTTTGTTTCTGTTTTTGGCCTGGGACATTTATTTGTGCCAGCACTGTTTGTTGAAAAGAATGCTTTGTTTCATTGAATTGCTTTTGCATAATTAAGAAAAATCAGTTGACCTTACTTGGCTATTTTTGGGTTCTTTCTTCTGTTCTATTGATCTGTGTGTCCATCCGTAGATTCCACACAGTGTTGATGACCATGGCTATGTTCCAAGTCTCGGAATCAGGAAGTGTGGTTTTCCAGTTTATTATTCTTTTTTATAATTGTTTAGCCACTCTATCCTTTGCCTTTCCATATAAATTTAAAAATAATCTCCTTTCGGGGACGGAGTGGCCAATGGCCTGCAGAGCAACATGCCTAAGTTTTATTGTGACTACTGCGACACATACCTCACCCATGACTCTCTATCTGTGAGAAAGACACACTGCAGTGGTAGGAAACACAAAGAGAATGTGAAAGACTACTATCAGAAATGGATAGAAGAGCAGGCTCAGAGCCTGATCAACAAAACAACCACTGCATTTCAACAAGGAAAGATACCTCCTACTCCATTCTCTGTTCCTCCTCCTGCAGGGGCAATTATCCCACCTCCCCCCAGTCTCCCATGTCCTCCTCGCCCTGGTATGATGCCAGCCCCCCATATGGGGGACCCCCCCATGATGCCAATGATGGGCCCTCCTCCTGGAATGATGCCAATGGGACCTGCTCCTGGAATGAGGCCACCTATGGAAGGCCACATGCCAGTGATGCCTGGGCCCCCAATAGACCTCTTGCCCGTCCCATGATGGTGCCCACTCGGCCTGGAGTGACTCGACCAGACAGATAAGGAGAGACAGGAACCTCTTTATATTAATTTTATATTACTTGTTCTACTTCACCAGGAGATCATGGTGCTGTGACTCTGGATGTTTTCTAACAGCATGACAAGGAAGACTTGCTTCCCTTTCCTATCAAAGAGAGAATGGTTTTTGCAGGGGAGTAGTGGGACCAAAAAAAAAAAAAAAAGGCAATTTTCATTTGTATTGTGAAATGTGAAAATAAAATTGTCAACTGTTTTAGTTAAAAAAAAAAATCTCCTTTCTATCTACAGGAATCTTTCTGGGGTTTGTATGCAATTATGTTAAACCTGGATATCAACTTGGGGAGAATTGACTTCTTTACTCCGTTGAGTCTTTGATTCATAGTCCCCATAAATCTCTCCATTTTTTAGATCTGTGATTTCATTCATCAGCATTGTATAGTTTTTAGCATACGAGTCTTGTCCATATTTTGTTTGATTGATATCTATATGTTTATACCTATCTATAAAAAACCCTTCAGTTTATATCTGTTTATTCCATTTTTATGCTTATAAATGGTATTCTTAATTTCAGCATCCATGTTCATTGACAACATATAGAAATACAATGGATGTTGTTTCTTGATTCTGTATGTTGTTACTTTGCTGAACTTGATCTTTAGTTCTAGAAGACTTTTATAGATTCCTTGGGGTTTTCTATGGATGTAGACCTGCAATGACATCATTATGTCATCCACAAATAAGAATGGTTTTATCTCTTTTAATTTTTCCAGTCTGTATACCACCCATGTCTTTTTCTAGGCTGATGGCATTTTTTAGAATTTCCAGCCCTCTGGGAGAGGAGACATTTCTGCCCTTTCCTAATCTTAAGATTCAGCCTTTCTCCATGATGTATGATGTTAACTAACAGATTTTTTTGTAGATGCTTTTTATCAAGTTTAGCAAGTTAGTTATAATTATTAGTTTGTTGGAGAGCTTCTGCCATGATGGGTGTTGAATTTTGTCAGATATTTTTTCTGCATCGGTTAATATGATCATGTGATTTTCTTCTTTAGCCTGTTAATTTGTTGGATTACATTGACTTTTTGAATATTGAATCAGCCTTGAATTCCTGCAATAAGCATCACTTGTTCATGATTTTTATATAGTGCTCAGTTCTATTTGGTGATATTTTTGTTAAGGATTTTTGTTTCTACATTCATGAAAGATATTGGCTCTTAGTTTTGTTTTGCTTTTTAATTTTTTATCCTGTCTTCATCAGACTTTTGTATCTTTTCCGTATTTTGAATATATACTTATACGTCATTTATGCTAGCAAATATGAAAAAAGCAAATAACTTTGCAATAAAATGTTAAACTCAGTCTAACATTTTGCTTTATATACATAAGACTTCACTTTTAAGTACACGGTTAAATTTATAAGTATGTAATGGAAATACTTTGCCAACAAAAATCATTAAAATTCTATTGAGGGTTGTTTAGTTATTTTTAGATAGCTAAGATCAAGGTAAGATATGAATTATATCAATATATTATAGGTTAGAAGGCCTTTCTACCAAGTAGCTCTCAACAAAATCTTAGGAAATATTTAAACAATCTTCAGTAAAAGTGGTTATTTAAGATCTGTTTCTTAGTTATAACACAGCCAAGTTTTATTTCATGATTTGATCGGATGCATGCCTTCTAGTCCATCTCAGGATTTGCCAGTTCTGTATACATCAACTAAAATAAAAACTGGTGTCATTAAACAAAGATCTTCTTTTGCCATTAATAGAGAATTATGGTGTGGATTCATGTTTAGGCTTCCTAATATGTTGAATGTGTATGTTATATTTATAAGGAGTAAGATATATACAGTATGTACCCGCATATAAATATATACATATATAGTAGGTATGTGTGTGTAACTTTAAAAAAAAAATCACTTTAAAAAAAAAAATCATGAGTAAGACCCACATGGATATCTAAAGCTATCTGTTCCTGGTGAATTTCTAAAACTAATTAATGAGTGGCAATTAAGATGTAAATCATGACTATTATTTTATTTTCAAGAACAAAAGCTATTTGAAGTTATTACTTTGGAGCATCCATGACATTACCTTGACAATCTAAAATGACTTTAACATTGTTTATACCATCAATCTTCTTATAGCTGCATGAAATAAAATGTATTTTACAACATATTTTGATGAATGTTTCTATATGCAGCTCTTAGAAAAAGCATAGTTTCTCTTGTTTCAACTTTGTTCTAATTTTACAGGATACAAGCCAAAACTCGTGAATTTAGAGAGCGACAAGCTCGAGAGCGTGACTATGCTGAAATCCAAGATTTTCATCGGACATTGGGTTGTAACGATGAGTTGATGTATGGGGGAATGTCTTCATATGAAGGTTCTATGGCGCTCAACACCAGACCCCAGAGCCCAAGAGAAGGGCATATGATGGATGCTTTGTATGCCCAAGTGAAGAAACCACGGAATTCCAAACCTTCATCTGTAGACAGGTAGGCTCCAGGAGCAATCAAGGTATTGCTTCCAAATCAACTTTTATATAGTTTTTGACAAGGGAGTGGATTGTTCATCAATTCTCAAACCAGGACTGCCTTTTATTAATGGCCTTTAGAAAGCCGTTGTGTCTAAAAGTATTGAGTTTACACAAATCGAAGCTTAATGGAAAGAGGAGCAGAGGTTTTGATAGCTTTTCTAATGATTCCAACATATTTCGTCTTGTTCTTAAAGTCACTTTAGACTGGAGAACAAAACTATAGTTTGTAGCTCAAATAAAAAGCAAACTTGAAATTATAGCTTTTTTACTTAAGCTGCATTTCCTTTTGTTGCTAACAGAGCCTGTAGTTATGGTAATTAAATAGATTGAGAGTGGCATGATTTGTTTGAATTATGATTTACTTAAAGGGCTGTTTTTTTTGGTGACATGATTTTCTATTATAAAGAAATTAGTGAATGAGATGTATAATATAACCAGTCTCCAAATTGGTTGTTAATAGCCACAGATCATAGGTGTGATTATGGATATTAATAGAGCACAAAGGAGTGAAATGTTGACTCTCTACTAATGACTACATATTTATTTCAAAATTTAACTGAGTATATGGCAATGTATTTATTAGTGGCTATATATTTATTTCAAATTCTGAAACATTTTAAAAACATAGTTTTCTAACTTGCCATTTGTATGTTCAAACACCTTATAAAGTTTAGTTCATGAAGAAAATAATTCTCATTTATTTTTATCTGAAACATAAGCATGTTGTCATAAACAATATACTAATCTCATCATATATTATAATGGTCTTATAATCATTGCTCTCTAGAGGAGCTAGGCTTTGAATGTTCAAACTAAGTTTCACCTAAAAGGTGTGGTTCTCAAACTTTGGCTTGCATCAGAATCACCTGGCGGGCTTCTTTGACCACAGATTGCTGAACCTTTCCCTAGAATTTTGATTCAGCAGGCCTACAAAGGAGTAGAGCCTAGAGTTTGCAGTTCTAACAAGTTTTGTTTTTTGAGGCTAATGCTGCTGGTCTCTAGTGCTGCACTTTATGAACCCCTACAGGACTAGAGAGGCGTTGGAATTAGTTTGTCTCTAGCACCAATGTGTTAACTTGGCTGCTATGTTTTCCAAATAGTCTATGTTTTAGTTATTTATTTCCAGCTATTTTTTAATAGAGGTTTGCAAATGTTAACAGATAACCTTCAGGCAAACCCAGAGGAAGCATTTTAAAAGGTAGCAAAAGGAGGTAGGCCTTAAGGTAAAACTAGTCCGTTTTCTTTTCTCTCCTTTCCTTTTTTCTCTTTTCTCTTTTTTCTTTTCTTTCTTTCTTTTTCTTTCTTTCTTTCTTTCTTTCTTTCTTTCTTTCTTTCTTTCTTTCTTCCTTTCTTTCTCTTCTTTTGCTGGGTTTTAGATTATCTTTATTAGGAAAATCTGTTTGATGTTGACTGTAATGAGTAAGTAATATAAGTTAATATTTAAATTCCTTTGGCGTGATCACCTAGAAAGTACAAAGTGCTTGTTAACTAACATGATGTGTCAGGACTCAAAGAATAAGGTCATTATCAGTAACAGTGTTTTCATAAGAAACTTCTTACTTGGTTTTTGTTCTATTTGTGAAAGCTTCTTGTAGAAGGTCAAATAGCACTTGAAGGCCTTGACTTGTCCTATTGAGAGTGGTTTTCTTAGGAGAAAGGACAGCACAAACATTGGCATTGCCCGTTAGTAACTTTTGGAAGAACTAAAAGAAAATTAATATTGTATTGATCACTGATAAAAAATTTTAAACATTCCCAGTTCCTCCCACATCTGGTTTGAAAATCTGGTAAGTAATGGATGTGCTTGTAGTGGTTGTTCACCTGGCTTCGAAATCCTACCTGTCATGAGGGACGGGAGTCCACAGGGATCTCTCCAGCCCCTGAGGGCCAGAATCAGTTGTTTAAATCCCAATTTAAAACCCCAGAGCCCTGCAAGAGTCTAAATCTCCCCTGACAATTTCTGCAGATTTTTAAAAGGACTTATGTGCTCAGAGCACCATCTGCTACTGGACTCAGGCATCCTGCCTATGCTCTTGGCTCTGCACTGTGCTGAGCCCACACTGAAACTCAGCCTCCTAAACTAATTTCTTTTGAAAACCCACTTGCCAGAACATTTCTGAGGAGACTTTTGTCTTGGGGATGAGTTGTACCAGGCAGTGAACAGCTCAAAAATCACATCATAGACATTGCTATATTCAAAATTCCCCTCAGCCTCACTCAAGCATGTCCTAGACAGCTATGTACCACTGGGGACCTTCAGTTCTATGCATCTGGGCACCCCAAAGGGTGATTGGACTAGAGGATTTCTAAGGCACTGCCCACTCAAGAGAAAGAGACACTTTATTTTTTCTTTAAAAGGGATCACAGGAACTTTATAGATTTCTGTAATTCTTACTTTTACAGAGAACAAGATGTCCATCAAACAATGATATTAGTAATACA